GATTACTGCTAATTTATTTTGCTGATCTGTTCTGTACAACATCTATTGCATGTCTGTCCGTCCTGGAAGAGGGATCCCTCCTCAGTTGCTCTTCCTGAGGTTTCTACCATTTTTTCCCCCCGTTAAAAGGTTTTTTTGGGGGAGTTTTTCCTTATCCGCTGTGAGGGTCATAAGGACAGAGGGATGTCGTATGCTGTAAAGCCCTGTGAGGCAAATTGTGATTTGTGATATTGGGCTTTATAAATAAAATTGATTGATTGATTGATTGATTGACTTTGGCGGTGGGCAGCCCTCCTCCACTTCACGTCCACCTTAATGTCGGACCACTTCTTTTTTAATTCTGCGTGTGTACGCTTTTCTGACCCCACAGCATTGGCGGCTTCATACACACTCTCCCACTCACTCCTCTTGCGTTTAGTATTGATGCCAGAGGACAACGTGCCAAAAGGTAAATTTTTGCGCGCCTCCACTTCAGTGAGTAGCGTCTCCTATTCACATTCTGTGAAGTTTTTTTTTTCCCGTCTTACTTATTCTTTTGTTTTAGTTTGTTGATCGTGCAGAGGGGGGAATCTCAAACATGTGCGCTCAATTCCATGTTGATTGGGATGCACAAAGGAAATGTGCTTGGATTCATGCGTATGCAGAGATCCATACAACTGGATGTTTTTGTGCGTACGTCGTTTTCTGGATTTAAGGGTACGCCATGTTTCAGTAGGAAATCCACGCAAGTCTTTGTACATGAGGCCCCTGGTGTCTGATTGAGACAGTCCTTTATTTGTCAAAATTTGTAGCCACACCAGGCTAGTAAAAGAGACTGAGCTTTTAATTAAAGTTTTACAGTATTTGCATTCCTCTACTGCATAGACAGCCCAGTTTTATGAAAAGACCATCTTTCCAGTGGTGAAATACTTCTTTAATCATGTTATTTAAAAAAAAAAAATCAGCTTCAGGTTCCTTCAGTAACTTGTTCCCACAGTTACTGTTTGGTAAAAATGCAGTAAATTTAGGCGTCAGGGTGGAGGAACCATGACAGATACAGTTTGGAAACCAGTGGGTTGAGACTGTTTCAGCACCCTCCTGAGCATAAAAAGACTGCTCAAGTCTTAACAAGAGAGGGCAAATTTGGTCACAATACAACTGTTTTCCAATCTTTGCATTGTTTTGTGGTTAGCTTCAGATTGGTTACGCTTCTGTTTTTAATTTATGGGTTAGTTAACATTTTTTACAACAGCTATCTTATATCAGAATGACATGTTGCATCACAAAGTGACAAAAACAGCAGAGCCAGTAATGTGATTGGAGTGTTGCTTTAAGGGTGTTGTCACATATAGTCTTTTTTAAACAAACCCAACTCAGTCCTCTTAAAATGCACCAAAAAGTGGACTAACAGAAAAGTGACTCAGTTATTTTTTATTCACATTGTCAATTAATTTAAAGGAGGTCTCAGTTCTGGTCAATTAAGCACTGATGGGGCCTCAGTCATGTTTCAGTTCACATTATTCCTGTATCAACTGAGTTTTTTTTTTTTTTTTTAGTTTGAGGTGGCACTACAGTGCAGTTATGAAGCCCCTCGCTTTCAGATGAACTTAAAATTGGAGGAAAAAAATCTTAGCGTTTCTGTGTGCTGTAGACTGTTGCCATTTAATATATTCTACATTCCAAATCTGGAGATGCGCAGTATCTTCCGTGGGCCAAACTACTCCTCGCTTCAGAGGGGTTTGAGTTCTCCTTGAGTTTTCACGTATATGCAAAAAATGCTGAGTCACCATTCTGACTCCTCCTGGCTGAAAAGGACAAGTGTGAAACCACTCTAAATGAACTATCAAGCTCTACAAACTCACCACACACTCCATCTGAAAACAAAAGGATCAGAAACCAAAATGTACCAACCTTAAACTCCAGTTCCATGGTGGTGACAGTCTCTCCAGGAGGGATCTGGGAGAGCTTCTGGATGTGGGTGTATAGGTTTCGGGCAGGGACTTCTGTGTTTCCACATGTTGCAGCCTCCAGCAGGGCCTCATGGATGAATATGTACTGATCCTCAGTCTGCACCATGTAATTCCTCTGAGCTCGCATGCATGTCACATAACCGTAAATGTCCACAGACTTTTCGTGTTTCATCCTCTCCAGCATTGCTTTGATCACAATGAAGCAGCCTGTTCGGCCCACACCAGCACTGACAAAGCACAAAGGGAAAAGATGGGTGATACTATTGTAGCCTATATTGTTTAGCATTTTTTTGGATTCCCTCTTCCTGGTACCCTGGAAATCCAGAGTTCTCACGAGAGCACAATTTGAATTCACTCAGCGACTCACTCTGGCAATCAGTAATGATACTCATTACCCATGCCGTTGGAGCCGAGCTGCACCAATCACATTGGTGTATCTGATATAGGGGGGCCAGAAGCGAGCTAAACAGATGACGACAGCTCTGCGACGATGAAGTCCGGAATCAGTCAGTAAACATTGCAAGATGGCTACGGATGAACACCAGTTGTTCAAAACGGCTTTGGCCGCTACAATGAACGAGTTAGACTTGGCTTTTTTCTCTAAAAGAGGAACAGAAGATGGCGCTCAAATCTTTCCTTTGCAAGAAGGATGTTTTTGCTGTTTTTCCAACCGGATACGGCAAGAGTCTAATCTACCAGTTAGCTCCGCTGGTAGCGCTCTGGATACGTCACACCGTGTATTGTTCTGATTGGTCGTAGTGTTATCCAATTGCGTGCAGTGATATTTTCAAATGCATGCTTGGTGCCGCCCCTCGAGTTGGGCCATTTTCATTACTCATAGCCACACCCTAAATCTTTCTAGATTTGGGTCTGGATTTCCAGGCTGGTCCGTATTCAAACAAAATGCATACAGTCAACTTATACTTAAAGTCACAACATTAACTGCATCTACTTGAAGAATTTGGCTCATACTCTGGTTATAAACTTAATCTACATAAAACCCAAACTCTAACCTTTAATCTGAAACCACATGAAAACATTTATAGAACATGTAAATTTAATCTGGCAGATAGTATAATTAAATACCTTGGAGTACAAATACCGAAAGATTTAACTACCATTTATGACCACAGTTACACTTCTATAACAGCTGACATCAAGGCAGACTTAAGCTGCTGGTCTTTATTACCGAAAATATGTACAACCGGATAGACATAATTAAGATGAACGTGCTACCCCGTCTCCTGTATCTCTTCCAGTCGTTACCAAGTGAGATACCACCAAAGCAATTTAATGAATGGAATAGGATGATATCTACTTTTATCTGGGCAAAACAAAGACCACGGATTAGATTTCAGACACTACAGTTGCCCAGAGATAAAGGCGGAAGGGCCCTACCCTGTTTGGAAGATTATTACAGAGCGGCACAGCTGCGCTTCCTGGTTGGTTGGTGTGATCCGGAGTGTGATGCAAAATGGAAGGAGTTAGAACAACATTTTATATGTGAACCTCTCCCATCTGTGTTGGGAGACAAAACCCTCTTGAAAAAGTACTTACCGGTAGATAAACTAAGTAATTGGATCGTAACCCCTCTAAACATATGGTACAAAATCCTCACAGAGGAAGGTATTTTGTGTCACTGTGGACTTTAATGGAGAACTGTGGGTGCATTAAAGCCCCTAGATCCGAGCCTTCAGCCTGATTTCTGCCAGCCCTTTGTTTTTCACAAAACCTGCCATTCTGTTTTGCTGTAGATGACCCTGTCTGATGTACCGGTTTTGTGCGTATATTTATATGTCTGTGTTTTGTTTTTCACTGAAAAAAATCAATAAAAATCAATAAAAAATCACAGCATTAACAGTACAACCAGCACTCAAGTAACATTACGGCAAAGCTCAGCCTCCACGCTGGTCCTGGAGGCCGGTATCAACAACCTCAGGAACCAGCAGTCAGAGGTCCTCAAGCAGGACTTCATCTCCCTGGTGGACCACCTGCTGGACACTGGGAAGCGGCTAATTATTTCTGGCCCGCTTCCCCCACCTCGTTATGGTGACGTCACCACCAGCCGCCTTCATCAGCTGCACCTGTGGCTGAAGGGACACTGCTTGTCCAAAAGTATCCCTTTTGTGGACAATTTTATAGCTTTTTTAAACAGACCCCACCTTTTTAACCCCGTAAGACCCACTGTTGCAGAATTACAACAATTTTGGTTATCCCCAAAAAACCTCTAATTTTTTTTGTTTTTTTTTTTTGGTTCAACCACATTAACATGATCATTGGGTCCTATTGTTTGTTCTCACAATGCGATTGGATCCAACATTTGTATATAAGGCCCGCCCTCAGGTCAAGAAGTCACACAACCTCCAATATTTTGATCGAGCAACATCCCTTCGATTTACTGGACTGAATTCATCTGATTCAAGTAAATAAAATGCTTTGAATATTTTTTTTTGTGTTTATTACATTGTCTAGAACATGAACATATGTAGTTATTGTGGAAAATATGCCCTACATTTTATTTAGAGCTTGTTTTATAATTGTTGCAATATTACAACGTTGGGTGAGAGTGGTAGTCAAATCAGCCCTGTTTTTGAGAGGAACGTCTTGAGAGGAACTTCAATTAAAATTTTCACAATATAACTTTCACATTCTATTTACACATTCTAGCCTTTAGCCTTATATTTGATTACATATTCACATATTTTATTGTATTAGAAACTAAAGTGCAAAGATATATTGCCGTATCTAAACATTTTCATTTACTTAGAATGATTTCTAACCACCTTCAACACTCAGTATTTTCTCCTTATCACAGAATGCAGGACTTTCTAACAAAGAAATTCTGTTTGTGCATGTCTGCCCTTTGTCTTAGTCTCTATTGATAAGAAAATGTTCCTATCAATTCATAGTCAAAGCAGTTGTGGGGGATGCTCCTGGTGCATTTGTGGCATTGTTCTGGAACAGGTGTTAATGTTCATGACTGTAAGGTGTGGTTGTAAACTGGAGGCTACATGCATTCCTATTTGGATGATAATCACAGTCTACAATAGGTCAGCCATACAGTATTGTGACCAGTGAAATGTGTGAATAGGCTACTTCAGTGCAATGTGTAAACACTTCATAATGAAATCATTCTCCCCACCACCCCATCTTTCCTGTTGGTCATCTAGAATCTAGTAAGCATGTGTGCTATTTGTATATACAGTGTACATTTGTTTCAATTTTATTTTTTCCATTTCAGAATGCCACCAGCAAGGAGAGATCCTCGGTACAGTGTGCAGGATGTAATTGCTATCTTCCAAAACGGAGAGAGTGATGTGGACATGGATTTCGACGACACTGATGCAAGTGACGAAGAATCAGATAGCGATGCCTGTGTGGACAAAGAAAACCAAGAACCTACTGATTGCCCAGCCAATGTGGACATTTTAGCCCCAATCAAGCAAGCAGCAGCTGGGAGCCCTTTGAATGCTGGAAAGAGAGCATCCTTAGGTGATGGGAGTCCAAACGGTCCCTCTTCCAAAAAATCATGTGCACACCCCCCTCTGGATGTGCGCAGGGACCTCACTGGACATTTTCCACTGAAGACAAAGAGAGGACGCTGCAGACATTGCAGTAAAGGGTATACTAATAATCAATGCAGCAAGTGTGATGTCCGCCTCTGTTTTTCAGAGGACAAGAACTGCTTCTGGGACTATCACTGTAAATAAATGTGGATGTGCACACGGACTTCACTGGACATTTTCCACTGAAGACGAAGAGAGGACGCTGCAGACATTGCAGTAAAGGGTATACTAATACCCAAAGCAAGTGTGATGCTGTGAGACTGGCTTGGATGTCTGCCTCTGTTTTTCAGAGGACAATCTGCTTCTGGGACTATCACTGTAAATAATGTAAATAAATGTCAAAGTTCTTGTTGTTGGAATAACTGACTCTTCATAACAACATGACTGAGATTATTATTCATGTTATATACTGGTTTGGGAAAAGCAAAACCCTGCAAATGAATCCTTAGTTCTGTACTGTTGTTCAGACAATGAGTGGAAATACAGGAGATTCTGCTCCCCATTAAGCCCAATGGTGCAATATTACAACATTTCTGTAAAAACACTCCATTTTCAGCCCCAAAGGCCTCCTACAACAACATCTGAATGGTTGAATTTTTTTTTTTTTTTTT